ATTTTTTTTATGCTGTGACCTCTATTGTCGTTCATCACTTACTTTATTTACTTTATTCAGTAAATAAAGCAAGACACATTTAGTTCAGAGATCATGAGATGATATTCAGAAAGGATTTTTTATTAATTGATTTTAGTTGTCTCTGCGATGAACTCTTTGCGTAAAGTCTATAATGTCTGACCATGTGCACCAGTACTTCACCCATTTTCCCCCCTGTGTGCCACCTAGGTCCATTTACCAGTTTCAGGACCCGACCAAAACCCCCAAGTATCATTACCTTGAGAAAAAATGAGATTTGGTTAAGTATAAAACAGGCTTTAATGCCGAAAAAGATAAAATGTTACAAGCCATGCAAGTCACAGAAATGGAACAGACACAGAGTGATATTCACCATCCAGCGCTGCGCTCCACTTAGCTCACCTTAGGGGTGACACCAAGTGAAGCAAAGATTGTAGCGCGAGTTCTGCTTTTACCTTATCCTCATTCTGTACCGTCCCCAAAGGGTAGTGTTTATCAGTTTAATTTTGTTCATGTGTGACTGTCGTCAGTCTTATGTGACATGACTATGTAAGCATTCAGCAATGTGCATGTGAGCAGATACAAGAAATAGAGGAAAAACAAAGAATCATTTTATCCATAACTTCACTGTTGCGTGTCAGATTTGCCAGTGTATGAGAAACACAATACAAAGGTGCACGTAAAAAATAAATCAGCGAGTAATTTTGTTAATTTTAAACTGTTAAAATCTACATAATTAACATTAGTTAAAGTGCTGGTCCTAATATTTCAATATTAATCAAATGGAAATTAGCATTTCTCTAAACCCAGTGTATTTGCAGCAATTTTGTATGACTATAGCTAAAATAATTATTCTGAAAAATGATCAGAACAACCAGATTGACAATTACTTTTACGATATTAATGGAACTACTAAAAGTCCTCCAATCCTAATTTATTCCTCCAATCAAGTATTGGTTTTGTTGCAAAAGTGAAATTTGTTTTTTGGTATTTCACAATCTTGGTAAATTCAGCTTTGTGCAGGCAATGTATTATGCAAAATCCACATTTTAGCCCTTAAATCCATTTTTGTGTACTTTGAGTTTGTAGGAGTACAAAAAATTTAAATTTATTCTGTCCCAGTGCTCCTTAGGTATCTTTATGTTATTTTAGGGTTAGATTTTCCAGTCTGTTCATTTTTTCTCTATCTCTATAACGTTTTTCTTGCCTATGACGTCACTGCATTTGCTGTGGAACTGCTAAGCAAGTTTTGTTGCATGTAAGCAAGTCAAAATATTCAGTTCTAGCATGTATTAACACACAAAATTCCTCAAACCATCACCTGGCATCAGAGTTGGGTGGGTTGATGGCTCTGCTTCTGTTAGTGCTGTTTGCTAGCTTTTAGCTGCCTCCTTGAGGATAGAGCTGTACTGCATGTTTTAGATATAACTATTTGACTTTGTGTTTGCTATTTTTGTCTTGGGGAACATGTGCAAATGCGCTCTGTGATGTTCTTGACGCTCACATTATCTAACTCCTTAATAATGTTGAGGCCTTGTTTACTTCATTCACATTGTGGTAGAATTAATATTTTAATAGGAATCTGATATGCATGGACACCATAGTTAAACTACACTCTATACCGTAGGTAGTTTGTATGGGTGGAGAGGGTGTAAATACAGCAATAAAACTCCATTGTAATACATTTATTTGAATACATGGTTCTGCAGGTTGGTCATCTTCATTGTCCTACTCTGGATCATACTCTGACTCCACCATGGAAGGTTGAATGAACAAGTCTTCTGTTGTTCACATCTTTAATTAACTTTGGAATAAAAAGTTTATCTGCCAGTAGATAATTATATTGCTGCTATCAAACTACAAAACTAGCAAAATGGGGTGGAGTGGAATGCTCTACACCCTGGAGTGGGTGGGGGAATGAAATGTCTCATTCACATTTAAAAAGACTGCAGCAAAATGAGTTGCTCAGAACAGAGTTAAACGAGGCATCTGTGGAGCTGTAGTAACAAGGAATTCAGACCAAAGCACTGCAGTTCTACCCTATAGAGACCATAAGTGAATGATTTACATGCAAAAAGGAAGGATTTAAAAGCATGATGTATCCACTTAAAATTCTTCATCTCTATTTCAACTTCCACAAGCAGGTCATCAGACATACCACTGTTCTCTGTTTGTTTGGCAAGAACACACGGACAATAGGCTTCTGGGGGGAGCGTGGATTGGCCCGTCCAGTATCAGTGGGGGTCTGCAGGACTGCTAATGAGTTGGGGGCTGAGGGAAGGGCCTGAGCTCCACCTCCAACTCCATCACCTCCCATCTTGGCCTCCAACAGGCTTGACATAGGGGAAGTGGTGCAGGAGAGGTCTGTGCCATTCCCCATGGCTTCCAGCAGCTGCTGCTCCCTCTGCTGCAGGGCGTCCAGTTTACTGGTGTACTCTTCATATGCCTGTCAAGGGACAACAAATAAAAAAAAAATAGCCTTGTCGCTAATTCTGGCACGTTTACAGAAACTTCAATTAATGTGCACTGTCCGTACCAAAAAAATTAAATTAAATGATACACACAAACTACTGACTGAACAACTTCTGAGCCTCCAGACATGCGTTTGAAGGCTCAGACATCTTCCATAGCAAGGCATTCTTACCTCCAAATATATGGAAGGAGGATTGTGTTCGCCTCCAAATTTCTCCAGCAGAGCCTCTAAGTGTTCCTGTGTCAGCTTTATCATCTGCTTGATGTTCCAGATCTGAGGAGAAAATACAAGAGCTGCAGAATTAAGTGCAAAATAAACCAAGCCTATTTTTATCAACATAATAATAATTAAAAAAACATTTCTAAATAACAAATGTTACTGGCTTTTGGATCATGCATATTATGCTAACTTATTCACTTCACAGCCATCACAGATGTTCACTGGTCATAACCAGGCACTATAAACCATATGGGCCAAAGCTTACCAAGTGCTAAAGCTGTCCAACCACTCTACACTCATCTTTCTACTTCATTTTATGGCAGAATATTGGAAGCTGAACCAGTTCTAAGGGGAGCAACAGGGTTAGGTGGTGAAAATAGAGAAGGCAGTTATGGTGCACAAAATAAAAAAAATAGCTCAACAAACAAACTCTATGGAACTTATTACATTTAAACCTGGGTTCTCAGTCTTTTATTTTCTGGCAAATTGTGATGTTTTCAACTACAACCTTGAAAATGCCGAAAGGCGTACTTTTTAGAAAGGCCTTCATATGCTGTAAAATATCAATCAATCAATCAATCAATCAATCAATCAATCAATCAGTCAAATTTTATTTGTATAGCACATTTCAGCACCAAGGCATTTCAAAGTGCTTTACATCATTAAACACAAAACACAGTCATGCAACATTGAGTCCTTGTCTGAACTATCTGTGGATTAGTTCAGACAAGGACGCTATATTCTAACAAAGTACACCACCTGTTGATCTATGTAATGTTATGGTTCTGTGTGTGGCCAAACCTAAATTTTGTCACAGAGAATGAATTTTTATTTGTTTTTTGGAAGGGATGGGGGGGGGGGTGAGAAGGGAGTGCATTAAGCATTTTTTACATATGCATGCTTCCAAACCAAATATATGGTTACTTAGGCTCTAATGTCTGAGTGTTTTTTTTTTTTTTTTTAATCTTCCATCTCTTTGTCCTGTGATGGACAAGTGGCCAGTGCTCAACTCATAAAAAAGGTCATGAATGAAATAAAATTGGTCAAATTTGTATTTCAGATCATTTACCTGTTCTGTTCTCTATCTCCATTTCAACCACTATGGTAAAAAATTTACAAGATCTATTACTACTCGTAGGATTACCTCATCAACCACCTCTCAGCTCCCTGCAGCCACTGGTGATATGTTACCACCTGTGTCACACATCAGCAGCAATTTTGATGTCGATGATCTCATTACCCAATTTAATAACTTGTGCACAAACACTTTGAACTCTATAGCTCCTCTTCCAACCATGAAGAAAAATAGATTTTCTGAGCCATGGTTCAAGTAAACCACAGGTGTCAAACTCCAGTCCTCAAGGGTTGCAGTCCAGCAACTTTTAGATGTGCCTCTCCTGCACCACACCTGAATAGAATAATTAGATCATTAGCAAGGCTCTGGAGAACTGATCTACACAAGGAGGAGGTAATTAAGCCATTTCATTCCAGTGTTTTGTACCTGTGGAACATCTAAAAACTACATGACAGTGGCCCGAGAGGACTGGAGTTTGACACCTCTGAATTAAACTATCCGCAATCTCAGGCAAGACTGCAGATGAGCTGAGAGGCACTGGGAAAAGGATAGGTTGCAGGTTTCTTTTGACATTCTGAAAAATTGTACACATAATTATCAGAATACTGTAAAATCTGAAAATCAAAATTCTTGATTCTGGTTTCCTCAAACAAACATAGGCCTTAAGTGCTTTTTAAAGTCTTGGATAAAGTTAACAGTCAAAATGCATCTGCTTTTATAGCTTCTGTTGATCTTTGTAATAAATTCTTAACATTTTTCCCTGACAAAATTTCAGCCCATAGGGGCTTTACTATTCTGCCTATGTTGAATCTTCCATCACCTCAAAGTCTCAAAGTCGGTCATGACATGAGTACACGTCTGCTCCCGCAAAATGTTTTCAAAATTTTGCTAGGGCTTATGGTTTTTTTTTGTCAGGGTCCTTGAGACCAATGCTGGGTGTCTCACAAGTATAGAAACTCTGTCTCCAGCATACTGTCTGACAGAGAAAGCCAGACCAGGTGGAGATAATTAATTACCATAGCAACGTAGCCAGAGAGCTGCAGGCTATTATGGTCTGTCTGTTGTCTCTCTGCAACTTATTGGTTTCATTGGAGTGGGAAATATTGTCTTTTTGTTTTAGACACATTCCTCATTATCTGCTCTTTCATTTCGAATATTAAATCAGTTAAGTTTTTGGGTTGTTTAGGTTCATTTGAGAGAACAAACATTTTAAATGCAACAATTTAAAATGTCAGCTCAGGTCTCCATTACATTGTGGGAAAAATACAGTTCCTGTGACTATTCATATTTTGCTTACATAAATGTATTACTTCTCAGAATTTTTCAGTGTGAATTAAAATCCTTAGTAATGTAGGTTGAAAATTTTCTAGAAAAAACAATTATCCACTGTCTTTATTTTTTTATTTCAGACCGTGAATGAGAACCACATGTGCAAAGCTTATAGCCGTCAGTCTCGGACTAATTTCACTGTGTATGAGGTTCAGCAATTGCACTGTATTGAAGTACTGACATAGCTCATGCCAGATCCATGTTGTCAGCCAACATGCACATGTTCCTGATTAAGCATCATGAAGCATGTAGCATTCTGATGCAGGACCTAGATCAAAGGTTATATGTTAGGCTACTTTTAATTTGCTTCAGGAACTTAATATGTATAGTTAATTTAGTGCTATGCTCCACAGCAAAGGGGAAAACAATGTATAAAAACCATTGAAGAACAACTCACAGCCACCTTTTTCTCATGTTCTGTCAGCCATGCCACACACACTCATTGCTATAGCAACTGACAACAAAGTCACTATCTGTTTCAGGATTCAATATCAAAAAACACTCTAAGAACAGAACATTCAGTCTGTTGCAGTTTTATGTTTTTAGGCTTAATGTTTATTTTGCTGCCACTGCTATTATCTAATCTAACACTGTAGTTGTTGATTAGTTAAATTAACCACCTACTTTACTGCACTTTTTATATTTTTTAATTGAACCAAAACACAAATGCCACATCACATCTACATGTTAACAATAATAACTGAACTACTTCCCTCCCACCCTA